CGATTCGAGAAAAATCCTTTTACAAATTTTTTTGTAATATTCTGTCAATCCCAAAAAGCTTCGAACTTCAGTCATATTACTTGATTGTTTCCAATTAACAATGCTTCAACCTTTGAAGGATCAACTGATAGACTTTCCTTTGATATGACATGTCCTAAAAATGCCACTTGTTTAAGCCAAAATTCACATTTACTAAGTTTGGCATACAATTTCTTTTCTCTTAATATTTGCAATACCATTTAATATTTGCAATACCATTCTTACATGCTACTCATGTTCCTTCTGATTCTTGAAATAAATTAAAATATCATCGATGAATACCACAATAAATTTATCCAAAAAGGGCTTAAAGACCTGATTCATCAAATCCATAAATGCAGTCGGTGCATTGGTTAATCCAAAAGGCATAACTAAAAATTTATAATGGTCATACCTTGTTTTGAAAGCTGTCTTGGGAACATCTTCACTTTTAATCTTAAGCTGATGGTATCCAGATCTAAGATCAATTTTTTAAAACACTTGTGATCCTTGTAATTGATCAAATAAATCGTCAATTTTAGGCAATGGATACTTATTTTTCACTGTCACTTGGTTCAACTGTCTATAATTGATACACAATCTCATGGTCCCATATTTATTTTTAACAAACAATACCGGAGCACCCCAAGGTGACACACTGGGCTTGATAAAACATTTATTTAATAATTCTTCCAATTGTTGTTTAAATTCCTTAAGTTCTGCAGGTGTCATTATATAAGGTGCCTTAAAAATTGGGGCTACCCCTGACAATAATTCAATAGAGAATTCAATTTCCATGTCAAGCGGTAATCCTGGCAATTCTTCAGGGAAAACGTCGGGAAATTCTCGGATAACCGAAGTAGTATCCAAATTTATCTCTTCCTTCCTATCTTCTTTGATATAAGCAAGAAAGCCTTGACACCATTTTTGAAGGAAGTGATTAGCTCGAATACAGGAGATTAAATATGATGGGGAGTCTTCTTTGATACCATTGAAGTAAAATACTGGTTGATCTGAAATACTAACGGTAACCATTTTCTTGTAACAATCAATACCATGCCTAAAATTACATCAAAATCTTGAATTTCTAGACATATTAAATCAACCAACAATTCCTTTTTTTCTATCTTTATTACACATGATTTGTACACTATATTGGTGTCACTTGAATTTCCTATCGGTGTGGCTACCTCTAGAATGTATTCTAATTGTTTTGGTTCTACCTTTAAGTGGCATGCAAAGTGTGGTGACACAAATGAATGAGTAAATCCAGGATCAATCAAAACATGAGCTACTTTTTGGAAGATAATAAGAGTACCTTGGATCCCTGATTTTGATGCCTAAGCGTCTTGCTGGGTGATCGCAATAACTCTTCCCTTCATCTGAGGATTTTGAGCTATCTCTCCCTGTTTTGGAAGTTGTTGCATCTGTAAGCTAGGACATTCTCTAACCAATTTTCCACATTTAAAACAGGCTCCAGTATTTCAATAACAAGGGCTCGATCCATGCTTTTTCCCACATTTTTTGCATAATTCTATTGGGCTTTGAAGTGGCAAGGGCCTTGGCTTCTTGTTTGCCCTTTTAAACTGTTGTCGATTAGATGGTGTGGGTTTAACCTGACTTTTCTGATTTTTCATCTTTTGGTAATCTTCGAAATCTTTTTCGATAATTTGGGCTCGATCCACTATTTCAGCATAAGTTCTCAATTTTAAGACTGATATTTTGCTTCTAATAGCTGGTATGAGACCCCTTTCAAATTTTTTCACCTTTCTTGCCTCATTGTTAATCATATGTGCTGCAAACCTGGCCAATTCAATAAACTTGGCCTCATACTGTGCTACTGTTCGGTTTCCTTAGATTAATTCCAGAAATTCCATTTCTTTTTTGTCTCGAATAAAATCTGGGAAATACTTCTCATTAAATGCTTCTAGAAATACCTCACAAGTCAAGGGTTTATTTTCTTTGACTAATACTCCTTTTGCCATTCGCCACCAATGTTGTGCTTCACCTTCTAACGTAAAAACTGCTAAGGCCATCTTCCTATCATCTGGACATTCTATTACCTCGAATATTTTCTCTAATTGCATAATCCATCCCTCGGCTTCCAGTGGGTTTACAATACCCTTAAAAGAAGGTGGGTTCAATTTTTTAAATACTTCGATATTACTCCCACCATTTCCCATAACTGATTGCCTGGGTGAATTGTTGTTTTCCATTTGATGTTGCATTAGAGCAACCATATTTTCCAAAGCTTTGTGAATTATTTCCATATTAGCTTCAGTTATTCTGGATCTTGAATTTGTCCTAGTCTGTACAGGCAATAAATGTGATTTTAAGTACGTTCTTTTTAAATTTCCTAAGAATCTTAAACCTATTGCTCTGATACCATAATTGTCACACCCCAAGAATTTACAATACTGATATTCCTGAGATGTGACAGTCAAACATATATACATCTCTTGATATGACAAATTTACAGTGGCGAATTCTTACAAAGTAATAAAAAAAAGTTTAAGCACAACTACAATATCTTCCAGAGTTGATCCTGACGAGCACTCAAAATGAAATCGTTGTTATCCTGAAAAAAAACTGTTTACCATAATTTGATGAGTTTGGCTACTTAGTAAGTGATCTTCATAATCCTAAAAATAATCATGATTGAAAGATATCAATGTTTTAAAAAGGAGATCTATTAACATAAATGCATTAACAGTTTCACTTTCAAAATGCATAATTAAGTATAATCCGAATAATTGAAATGCATATAACATTTTAACGACAGTGTATAATTCAAAGGATTTCACAAATTACCTTACTGGCGTCCCATGTAGGTCACCTATATACCCCATCAGCATTCTGATGGATCCACTTAATCCCCTAACGGCGTCCCAGATAGGTCCACTTAATCCCTGCAGATCCACTTATACCTCTTCGGCATACCGGATGAGTCCACTTAATCCCTACCGACGTATCGGATAGGTCCACTTATACCTCACCGACGAACCGGATGAGTACACTTGCATACTTGAAGTATTTATAAATCTCTTTAAACATTCGAAAGCAACAATATCATGTACTCAACATATCACTTAAATTATTAATATGAATTTCACTGAAACCATTTATAACAGTCACTTTCAATAACATTTCAAAAGTAACCAGTCAAATATTTTGGGCTCAATTTTAGAAAGGTAGCAGTTCGTAAAGACATTCTAGCATAATTGCCAATCTAATATATATAGAAAAACTCTTATAGAAATTCAAGAATACGGAATTATCACAATTTATGGGATGTCAATTCGCAAATAAACATTTCATAAATAATGTTATAATCAAATGCAAAAATATCAGTTTTCAAATAATAAGGCAGTCATTTGCACATGAATTTTTCAATGTCTAAATATTCAAAAACAGTAGAAAGAAATCTCACAATTTTACTAAAAGTAAAAATATCACATTTATTTCTAATAAGTTTACAGTATCTAAAATTTTTTAACAATAAACAAGAAAAATAAATAAATTTATTTCTAAGAATTTACAGCATTTAAAATTTATAACATAGATAAAATATCACACTTTTATTAAAAGATTATTTTTCAAAATAATGAAGTCGCTTGCGCATAAAATTTATCGCGCCTAAAATTCATGATAATAAGCAGAAGTAATTGTTTCATTTCATTTTTAAAAAGAACGGATTATTTTTCAAGATAATGAAGTCACTTACCTAAAATATTTGAGAATGAGCTTCCGATAAAAATTCGGCTAGAGGGAGGAGCTCACTATGTTTGTAAGAGGGAGAGCGAGAAAAGAGTTGTTAGGCGACGTCTTACCTTTCGTCTTAATTAATTTCTTTAAAACGCCTCCATTATGTGTATGAGGTGTCGCGTAATTAACTACTTTTAACACCTAAAAACCACGTCCACTAAAGGACGTGGTAAGGCAGCAAAAGCTTAAACCAAATGAAGGTAAAATCTTTTAGAAAGTAGTGAAGGTCCCCTAAGGACCATCATGCTCATATAGACC